GTAATATTTTATTAATGTAATTAACGTAAACGATCGTCGCGATTGCTGTACGCGCGGTTTTATTTGTGTTTTGGGCTGTTTTTGTGTGGCAGCACGGTGAGAGTGGTGGAGGAGTTATATATAGTGGGGAACCGGAAACCATTCAGTCTGGTTCCTGGCGTGCAACAGTGAAGGTGTGTCCTTCGATTGTCTTGTGTAGACCCTTTGTGCTTTGTGTAAGCTGCCACGTGCCAGGCTTAAGCCTACCTATCGTATTGTGATTCAATTGTATATATATGTTTGGTGCATAAAGTTTGTTAGATAATATATCGTACTGGTCTCCTCCCTTTTTTTGTGGCAATCAATTTTTATCCACCTCTGCGGATATCATACCTCAGATATCCGCAGATTCCACACATTTAATTGTGTTCTGAGAATAGCATTTAACCTACTTTGGTATTCTTTAATTAATCTTTGCTTTATTTGTGTATGTTCTGTTAGTTTGGCCTGTTGGAATCCTAAATACATGTTGAACTCACCCTCTTCCATGGTTTCAATAACGTCCCCATTTCCAAGTGCAAAATCTTCTTTCTTCAGGATTCCTTTTTCTATATGAAGTTTTTTGCATTTGTCTAAGCCAAACTCCATTTGTATGTCCTTGGTGTATGAATGTGTAATTTGTAGAAGTTGATGAAGTTGTTTTTGTGTGGATGCATAAAGTTTTATGTCGTCCATGTACATGAGATGTGACAGTGTAAACTGTGTTGTTTTTTCATGTCTGATATTGTAGCCATAATGCGTGTTGTTTAACATGTTGGATAATGGATTCAGGGCTAGGCAGAACCAGAGAGGACTCAAGGAATCTCCTTGAAAAATTCCTCGCCTAATGAATATTTGGTTTGTTTGTATGGAAGTGTTACTAACCCTGAGATGTAGTGTTGTTCTCCAGTGCTGCATAGTGTTTTGGAAGAATGCAATAAGTGATGAATGTATTTTGTACATATGTAGAATATGTAGCATCAACTGTGTGGAACACTGTCGAATGCTTTTCTGTAGTCTATATATGCCATGTGTATATTTCTGTGTTGTTTGTGTGCTTGCCGTAGAATGACTGAATCTATGAATAACTGTTCTTTGCATCCCCTTTGATTTCTACGGCAACCCTTTTGTTGTTCTGTAAGAAAGTCGTGTTCTTCAACATGTTTGTTTGCGATACATGCTGTCAATAATTTGTAGAGTGTTGGGAGACATGTAATTGGTCTGTATTGTGTGGGGTCTGTAGTGTTGTTTTTAGGTTTCATGTAGGTGATGACCTGAGTAAGAAATTTTGGCATGTCTTGTGGATTGATGATGATGTGAGTTACATGTTTGCAGTGATGTAAAGTTCCTGATGCAGTGATGTAAATTTTTTGTACCAGAAATTGTGAATGTTGTCTACACCAGGTGTCTTCCAGTTGTGTGTTCTGTTAACAGCGTAGCGAATTCGTGTACATTTATTTCAGCACAGGGCATAGTTGGTATGTTGTGCAAGTTTCTGTTCTCCTCTTCGATCCAGCCTGCTTCAGCATTGTGTGTAACAGCATTGGACCAAAGAGAAGACCAATAAGTTGTGAGTTCTTCTTCTGTTGGTGTGCCACTGTGCTGTGTATCA